TACTTTTTTTCAAACCGAAGAACTTGGGATTCTGATTTTCTGACGTTATCAGAGGCTGCGAAATGTCCGGCTACGAAATGTCCGGCTACGAAATGTCCGGGAGCCATTTCCAGGAGGATATGATATTGGGCTGATAACAACGGGGATGCGCTACGATCTGAGATTCAAAGATGTTTCGAGATCGAGATTCCCCTTCAGTTTAAATTTTCTTGTTTCTTTGTTAATTTCTTTTTCTCTAATGAATGTATTTTCTGAAAATCCGTCTTCAAAAGAATCAATAGTTTAAACCTTTAGTAGAAACGATAAAACCTTTTTAGCAGTAAAACAACTTTTTTAAGCAACGAATAAACCTTTTTAAGTATCAAAAAACTTTTCTAAGCCCTTCTCTAACTTTTTTAAGCAACGAGTAAACTTTTTTAAGCAACAGTAAAACTATTATTAGCACTTTCAAACTTTTTCGAGCAATGGATAAACTTTTATAAGCAACAACGAAACTATTCTAAGCCCTTCATAAACAATTTTTCGGCTAATCGGGCACCTTTTTTAGTTTAACTACCTGAGTAGAAGAGCCCCTATAAGGGCAATCAAATTTGAGCCAATTATTTTCGCTTCCTGTTAAAGATTTATCATAATAACCCCAATATTTTATCAGTGTAAAAACAATTTTGAAATCATTTTCAGGAATCGAGATAGTTGAGCTCAAAATGGACAGTGTGTGGGTCCTTCTATTATACGATTAGGGTAGAACTTTTTATATGAAAAAATTAATACACAATCAATAGCCCGTTTCAAAAATTCGTTCAGTTAAATCAAATTCAGTTAAACATCTTCCTATTTCTTCGAACTTTTCGTAGTCATCAAAGTGCGACGTTCGCTGACAGTTGAGCTGGTATCCTTCGTATCCACATTGGCATTCTCAATAATCTTCGTATCCAAAAACATTCCCTGACAATCATCTTCTCTTTTCGTTTCTTCAAACGATTTCACATCTCCTGGTCCCAATATGATTCCCATCAGAAGACCACGATGACGACGATGAAAGTTTCCGACTAAAAAGAAGATTTTTTTTTAGAATTTGGTGTTTTTGTAAATCTGACAAGTGTCTTCTGGTCCATCATCAAACGATTTGTGCTTGGGGTAATGGAAAATGACACGGAACCAGTTGATTCCATTCTTTTGCTTCTCCGCCTCACTCTTCCATTCTGAAATTTCGAAAATATAAAAGTTAAGAAAAACGAAAAAAGTACCATTGAATTTGGCGGTCCAAGTCTTTGGCAGATACTGTGGAGATACTAGAAACTCTTTCATCATTGCTGCTTTGAGCTGAAAAATTTATTCTGTTTCAGGTGGAAAGTAATTGTTTTTCCTTTCCAAATTTAATCAGTGCTCCTCCAAACCACCAATCCCACATACCTTGTCTCTTTTCTTCATAACAGCTTTTGTCTCATCATCCACGGCACAATTATTCTTCTGCAAATAATCAATAATCTTGTCGAGTGCCGAATCCAACACAGCCAAAACAGTCGCATCCAATTTCTGTTTTCCGGAGAAAAACTTCGCCAAAACTTCATTTTCCTCGGCTGTCAGACACTTTTCCATTGCCGCGTGTTTTTTGGCAACTTTCAGAAGACGTGGTGCCAATTTGAGAATCTCCTTCTCATCCGCATCTGATGTCATTTTTTCGAACTCATCGTCATCTAATTTTTCAAAAGCGTCCGGTTGGTTTTCAGCGATTGGCGCGGAAATTGTTTTTTTGGAGTCGGTTACGGAAGGATTCGAAACGGTTACTACCAATGGAACTTCTTCTGTCTTGCTGTTTTCTTTTGGCTCTTTTTTAGCTTTAGCCGTAGGTGGAGGAGCAGGAGTGGGTTGGGTAGGAGGAGTTTGAGTTTCGGTTTCTGGAGTTTTGACTTCTGGAGATGGTTGAACTGGAGCAGGAACAGATTTTGGAGGTTCTGGGGTAGCTGCAGCTTCCTTCTTTTCTTCAAATTTCTCCACTGGCTTCTCCTCCACTTTCTGATCTGCTGCTTTCTGCTCCAGGACCTTCGGTTCCGGCTCTTTAACAGGCTCATCCGGTTTGTTCTCTTCCACTTTCTCCACTAATTTCTCTTCTGATTTCTTCGGCTCCACAACATCTTCCTTTTTCTTCTCCTCCGGAATCTTTTCAACCGTTTCCCTGCTAGATGGTTTTGGTTTTTCTTCTTTTTTAAAAACATCCGACTCGGAAGATTTGTGAGCTTTTTCTGAAAAAATGTTTCCCGTTTCTCTAACACTTTCTCTTATTTGTCATAAATAGCATTGTTGATAAACAGCAAGTAGTTTCTCTAAATATCTTACCAGCAGACTTTTTGGATTTCGAAGCATTTGAAGAAGATTGATCCGTGGCTGAGGATGAAGAAGTTGGAAGTGAGCTCACTGTAGCTGCTCCTGCTTTTTTCTCCTTTTTCACCTTCTTCTTTTGAGGACCAGAACTCATTGAGATGTCTGATTTGGGCATCTGAAAAGGTTTCTTCAGTAAAAAAATGTAGAAAAAGCCAATTCTGAAGGCCAGAAATTATTTTGTATTATTTTTATTCTTATGGGTGGAATCTAACCGAATTAGTTTGGATGAAGGTTTGGAAATTAACAAAATTAAAAGGTGGGGGGACATGAAAAAAAAATAATATTCTCGAAATTTCGTTTAAATATGCCCCTCGAGGAGTTGAACGTGTGGTGCGAGGACTGAGGGTGCGGCGCCGCTACCGACTGAGCTACACGGGCAAAGAGAAAGCGCACGCCCGTTTGCATACATAAAGGCGAGGACGACAGCTGTACGCAGAGTGACATTAAGCGTTGTACACCGTCACGGTACAATGCATACTCTGGCCCCAAAAATCCCCCGTAAAATCTCCTGTCCCCCCACCTCTGAAGAAATTTTCCGAAAGAAATCAAATTAGTTGGCCAGTTCGATCATTTTTAGGGCATTTGAAACCGAAAAAAAATTGTGAAAGTCAAGAAAACGGCACCAACTTTTTTGATTTCACAATTCGCCATATATGCTCAAATTTCGAGAATTTCCTATTTTTCTTCATTCTCAAGGATAAAAAAATACTTTTTCTAAATTTGGCGCTATTTTTCGGATGAACCAGTGGAAGGAAAATCTACTAGAAAGCTTAAAATTTTGAACAGAAAACTAAAAATTCTGAAAACATCCAATCAAACAACACTGAAATTCGCGAAAATCAACGAAATTTTCACAATCATTGGTGAATTTTTAAAAACTTTTTCCGGTTTTCTGTTCAAATTATAGGCTTAGGCTTGATTTTCACGAATATCAGATTTTTTGCCTTTTTGACTGGAAATTTATTTCAGAATACCGGGAAACCTGTATTAGAAGGGCCGGCCCTTCTATTCTTCGTGTGGTCCCTAGGGGGAATTTCAATTAGAGGGGGCACTTGTATTTTTCGTGGGGTCGCTGAGAATGGAACTTTTATTGGAGGGGCATCATTTTTCAGTAAAATTTGGTTTTTCTTCTCAGAATCCATTACAATTTCTCCATAAAAACAAAATTTCTAATATTGTCAAATTTTTGAAAACTGGCACCTGAGCGTTGTTCGTACCGATTTACGAGGCCACGCCCTAAAATCCCATATTATATCGAACGAAATTAATTGTTCTCAACGTAGTCGGATTTTCTGAATAAAATTCAGGTTTCTTGGTAAAATTCGCTGGAATTTCTAGAACTTTTTCAAAATGAAAATCCAAACGAATATCGCTCGAACGAGACGAAAATCTGTAATATAGCGACGGCATTCAAATTCTCATGTGCCAGTTTTTCAAAAATTAGACAATGATTCAATCAAAACAACGAAAAAAAACGGCTGAAAATCAAAGGGGATAGTCAAAGGGGCACTTCAATTAGAAGGGCCCTTCAATTTCAGGGGCTCTCCTAATACAGGTTTTACGGTATCTTGTTATTTTTTGTTTAAAATTATAGGATTTGGCTGGAACGCTTTGTTCCTAGGATACCCGCGTTCGGCGCCAAATTCAAAAAACATGATTTTTGGTCCTTGAGAAATAAAGAAAAAAACTTTTTAAAATGTAGTGAAACTGTTTGAATTGTGACATGAAAATATGGGAAGAAAACGACAAAAAAGTATATAATTTTAAAATAAAAACTTTTCCGGTTTCAGTTGCTCTAGAAATGTTCAAACTATTCTTATAATTTGATATTTAAGAGAATATTTTTTTGAAAAATCCTCACCTTTTCCTTTTTGGTCACCTCCTTCTTCTTATCCTTTGTCTTCCATCCATCAGTCCTCTTCTTCGACGTTTTCCAAATCGTTGGTTTCTCGGGAAGCACAAAAATCATCGGTTGCGCGGGACCATCGATTTTCTCCACAATCGTCGGTGTCTCATCCTGATCGTCAGCTTTCACAAAAATCCCCTTCTTCCTCATTTCTGCTCTTTTCGCGAGTTTTCTCTCTTCTGGAGTCAACGTCTTCTTCTTTTCCTCGGGTTTATTTTTCAAAAACTGCTTATATTGATCCTGCACAACTCCCGCCGTCACTTTCTTTCCGAGATTCGATCCGAGCATTGTTCAAATTGTTCAATGAGCGCACGATTTGTGGCGAGTCTATGCGAAACTTCTTTCGAGTCTAATTCGAATATTGGGAATGTGCGCTTTTCGTTTTTTTTCTGATTTTTTAAAAATTTGTAAAAATCGATGTTTGGAAAATTTCAAAAGTTTACGGTTTATCAAAATTTCTATTATAAGAAATCACACTAAAATTCTCTGGAATCACAAGAAAAGAACACACACACACAAAATATACTCGATCAAGGGGGGAAGAAGAAAAATTGAGAACCCGGGTTTCAGAATTAAGAAAAATTAAAAATTGAAAAATGGGAGAAATTATGCCACCGAGGAAGATCCCAATGGATCGGATAAAACGGGCTCAGTTGTGGATGACGTGGTGGGAGCTTCTGGAGCTGGAGTCGCAGATGATGTGGCAGCTGGAGTAGGCGTGGTTGAAGACGACGTTCCAGCCTCTCGATCTCTATCACGATCACGACTGCTTAGAGGTGGAATTGGGGGTTTCTTGGGGAATGAAGTACGAGCGGATACGGTACCCGTGACGATTTTTGAAAGGATTAGGGCATCGATGTAGCGAGTTTGGAATTCCTGTTGTTCCTGGAAATCTCAAAATAGTTGAAATTCCCAAAATCATAAAACTATACCTGTGGGGTACATCCAGACAATCCTAACGTGCTGATATCTTGTGGAGCAATACATCGAAGTCCTTTCTCGGCCACAGGCACTAAGCCATTCGGCATCAATGGAAGGGCTAACAAATGAATATGATCTCCAACATGGCTTCTTCGATTCCGGAGTGGATGTGATGGGTACCATGTGTAAACGATTTTTCCAGCCATTCCACGAGATGGTTGGAATAACCAAGAGCTTCGACCAGCCATCTGCAAACATTTATTGTTTCAGTGTGTCATTGAAGGAATTATTCGAATGTTTATTGTTGTTTATTGGGAGGGGTTTGAAAGTTGAAACTAATTACTCTATCTTTCTGTGCAACCCTTTCGTTACGTTCGGCCGATTTTTCGAAAAATTGTCCGAACGGGATTACGATATGTTTTCGATGTTTTTTCCAGGCCAAACGCCATGGTGGCCTAACTTTAGCAAGTTTAGTGTTCTAGGCTATCATGTTAAACGGCTTAGAAATAGCATGGTATTCACCTGGTGCGTTTTCTAGGTCATTCACGACGTTGACCTAACTTTTGCAAGTTGAGTTTTCTAGGCCACCTTGATAAATGAAATTGAAATGACCAAATATTGACCTAGTGTGCTTTCTAGGTCATTTTCCACGGTGGCCGAACTTTTGCAAGTTGAATTACCTAGGCCACCAACCTTTTTGGTTCGAAAATTCTAAATTCGTTCGAACGAAATTTCGAAAACTATTCAAACAAACTTTAGAAATTTATTAGAAAAACTGAATGAAATAACATGCTTTATGTGCTATTTTTCTTTGCCAGATCGAATAATGCCTTGTTGAATAACTCACATGTTGCACAAGCTCATCTGGCCACACCACCAAACACTCTCCGGATGATTTCAATGGTTCGTTGAGATATTTGAAGATCTGCTCACTATCGATAATTAGTACCCACGACCCAATTGCCATCTCTTGATTTCCTCCAATTATTTGACCAGTTTTGAGCATTTTTTCAAGATTCGGACGGCTCATAATCGACCGTTCTCGTTCTGTCTGTGGTGGAGCTGTTAGGGTGACTGGGGCAGCAATGGAATCGTCGAGTGGAGGACGACATTTGGGATGGAGGACAGAGACACGGGCGGTACCGTCTTTTGTCATTTCAACGATTGAGTTCTCGAGCTGAAATCAGTCAGAGCATAAAATAGAGGAAGTCAAGAAACACATTTCTCATGAAACAACAATTCCCGAAATTTCTACTCACCCGTCTTCCTTGTCTAGGAGTTGTCATCGTTAACACAATCATCTCCTGATCTTCATCTGTCTCCTTATCTCCATCGCTTCTTGGAGTCGGTGGTCCTACATGGAAGTGTGCTCTCGGAGCAATCGGTGGTCCAGATGATGGATTTGGCCCTCCTGGTCCAGATGACGTTGATGTTCCCGACGGAATAGTGATTTGGATTCCAGAGGTGCCGGGCGCCGATTGAGCAGCCTGTTGCGCTTGTTGCTGTTGTTGGTGAGCCGAAGTGCTTCCAGATGGGCCAAAGTGATTACGGAGACGGTCCCACACGTTTTGACCGAAGGCTCGGAAACCCTGGAAGTTTTGGAATAGGATGGACGACTTGGATGTATACTATTATTGGGTTGGTAAAAAAGTAATGCGCGTTTTGTGCGACCTATTTCGAACTACGGCAGGTGTTGTTCTGCAAGAGAGGCATCGAAACTAGGATCATGCGTTGGTAGTAATTGGTGGATAATACTGTTGAAAGCTCCTTAATTAATATCCTCTTGTTTCAGTTTTGCATGAAGTTGTTTAGAATCAAAACACGCATTACTTTTTTACCAACCTAATAGTTACGAAAAGACATGAAATAAGAAAACGGGTTGAAACAGCAATTATTTGTTTACACCAGTAGAAGCCTACCCCGTACATGCTCGTTGAGCTCAATAGTCTCGGTTCCTATGAAAGATATTTAAAAAAAAAGGTCAACTGATAAATATCGGTGATATCATGATAATTAACTTATTAGTTGATAAAATTTTAATATCTATCATGGGAATCGAGATAATTGATCTCAATGTGAACGTGCAAGATGAGAATACGGCAAATTGGTTACCTCAAAAGTGAAAGTTGGTCCAAAAACTTTATGAATCTGTGAGTGAGATTCAATGTGAGAAGTTGTTAGAGGAGACACGTAGATCGGATATCCAACTGGGAGATCCGCAGAACTGTTGATCATATTTCTGGAAACAGAACAGTACTAAAACCAAGAAACACCATCAAAATATTACCTCAAGACTTGTCTTGCATTCTGAATACTTCCACGCTCGGGATTTCGATTTCGCAAGAAAATGAGCTCTTGTTGCTGACCGGCCCAGAACGCGCGGACACATTCGCGATTCAGCTTGATGACTCTGAAAATTAATTTTCTACATTTTTTTTCGAGTTAACACAAAATCTAACCTCATATTGAGATGCATTTGATTCAACATAATAATCTTATAATCGTCCTGTCCGTCGTCATATATATGTCTCAATGCTAACAAACTCGGAGTATTCGCCAGAATCGCATTTCTCCATCCAGGATCTTGTTCGTGAGAAATGAACATTTTTGTCTGGTAATCTCCAATAGTTGTGTAAAGTCCTTCATCTTCATCGAATTCTTCGAATTGTGCAAAATGATCTTGATGAAGTTTCAGAGCCATTTTCACTGCTGGAGCAACGACACATCGCAGCATATCCATGTCAGTGAACACCCATTCGTCTCGTTGACATGTGATTCTGAAATATATATTTTTTAGAAGTCAACGAAGAAAAATTGTTGGCCTATATAATAATATAGGTTAAATTGCTATAGTTAAAGTATGTTGTTTTCTGTGTGATCAGTATCTGTTCGAAATGTTTTGTTATCGAAAAATGTTACTATTTCAAAAACTTTAATTAGTGATAAAATTTTGTCACAATTTGTTGCCAGTCCAACCATTGCAAAAAAATTTGACTTTGAAAAATCAAAAGTTCCAAGAAAAAATCGGTCGATTTTCAGTCCGACTTTCACAGTCCGACAGTCCGACAGTCCGATTTTCACAGTCATACATTTTCAAGTTTTAAAATTGGTCGGTAATTTACTGCTTGTGACTGATGGTAGTTTTCTGTTATGCACAAATAGAGGGCGGAGACGGTTAGAGTCTCTCGTTTCTCTGCGTCTCTTTTTCAATGCTTTTCTGTTGTGTTTATAATTATTTCAAAGCATAAAATGAAACAAAAAATTGCACAAATTTGGAAATTCGGTTGAAAACTGATCGAGTTTCGCTACTTTGTAGTCAGACCCGAACTTTTTAAAACCAACTTTTATGGCTAGCATAACAATGGTCTGACATTCACCTGGTGTATTCTTTAAGCCATGTAACATGGTGGCCTATAAAACTCAACTTGTAAAAGTTAGGCCATTATGTTAATTAATCTAGAAACCGCACCAGTTAAATATCAGGCCATTTCTAGGTCATTATAGTTGGTGGCCTAGAAAACTCAACTGGCAAAAGTTAGGCCGCCATGGTTCATGAGCTATAAAACTCATCAGGTTCATGTTGGACCATTTCTGGTCCATCAACTACGGGGGGGGGGGGGCCTAAAAAATCATGTTGAAAAAGTTAGGCCACTCTAATTCTATGGAACCGAAGTATCTGGTTTTAAACATCGATAAAAATCTGTTCTCAAATTTTTTTTCTATTTCAAAAACTTTTATTATTGCTATAATTTCCTTAAAGGAGGACTCCGACCAAAAATTTTTATTGCATTACAATGTTCAAAAAGTTGTCTATTTTCCCAATATTATAGCGAAAAAATTTGAAAAAAATCCGAAATCCCCGAAAATGCCGTTAAAAGCGAAAAATTTTCAAAAAAAAGTTGCTAGGACGGACGAGGATTTGACTCCTTCCTTCTTCTCCGACTTCTGATCACCGGCCTTCTTTTCACCGTCGGCTGGAGCAGCGGCAGCGTCGGCTGCTGGAGCAGCGGCAGCATCTGGAGCAGCAGGTGGAGGTGGAGCGGGAGCTGGTGGAGGTGTCATCTTGGAGGCAGACTTTGCAGGTCTGAAATAGAACAAATAGGAAATCTTCTAGAACACTTGTTTCTGTTAAACTCACGGTGCTTTCTTCTTTCCTCCACATCCAATCATTACGGCGATTGGGCCGACCAGTAGCATGGCTAGGTGCAGGTAGTCGAACGGGTTCATCGTCGTTCCGCCGAGTTTATGCGTTCTGTGCTTGTATCGAGTGTGTAGATTCGAAACTGAGACGTTTCACTGACACTTGGCCACTTTTATGCCGCCCCTCTTATCAGTGTTCCAGATCTCTTTTTTGGAATTCAGGATAGTGGGGGGGGGGGGGGGGCCCTTTACATGCACAAATGTTTGATTTGAAAAGGGTTTCGGTTTTAAATGTGAAACACGATCCACTTGATAATAGGTCATTGAAACAAAAAATTTTT